TCTTACAAGCTTCTCCAATTCAAGACTTCAGTCTCTTACCAGAATTTCCTTGACCTTCTGACCTTTATATTCCCTTTTCACATATCTCTCTCATTTCAAAGCTCCTTATTTGTCCGTTCGATCAATTTCTGGAAATCCCTACCTATCACAATTTAGAATTTCCCCTCCAGATCCACATTCAAAACACTCCTATTCCGATTCTTGTTCCAAAAACAGACGCCTGCTCATCTCTTAACATTATACATCAATTTCATATCGTTAATCGTTAACAAGGATTTACTACTCTCGATGCCACTCAATACACCTATTTTTCACTAACACTTACCTATATACAAAATAAAATGGTGGTGGTGTGTTTTTGTGTGCATGTATGTGTTTGTGTCAAAATTTGTACAAAAGTGATATTGCAGATTTTAGGTATTTATATACCTGGGGTGTTACGGAAACTTTTTCGTCTAAATCGGCTAATCAGAAATGGTTCTTTATATAATCGATTTAACACATTTTTTACGATTTTCTCAAAAACAGCTCTAACGATTTTGGTAAAATTCGGTGTATCAATGTATAATTAAGTAATCTTTAATATCATTTAAGACTTATCCCTATCGATGTCGCTTAACAGGGCTTAAATGCCCAATGTTCAAAAAGTCTTCCTCTATACTACCTTTAATTTTGTTTAGTTTAAATAATTAACTATTTCTCATTCTGAAGAGTCATAAAAAAAAAGGCAAAATAACTTTTGAAAGAATTTGATAATTGAATAAAGGAGAAGAAAAGAAAAATGTTTATCCAGATCGAAAATGAATCTCCTGAAATTATAGACAGAAGGTATGAATATAAATATAATATCGTTGGAAAGTGGAGAATTTCATAAAAAATAATATCAAGTAAACGAAGTTGTAGAAGGTAACGGAGAGGGACGAAACGATATAAATAATAATTTCTAAAATCTAACATTGTTTAACATAAATCGCATGTTTCGTGGAAAATTAAATGAAAATTTCTTACTAAATTGAAATTAAAAAAAAAAATTAAGTTTCAAAAACCAATTTAAAATTGACAGATTCAAGGCAATGACATTGTTTAAAATACCATTTAATTGTACTTGTGTGAAATATAAAAATATTTCATGTATAATAATATGACCTTAAATACATTTACTGCAATTTAATAAATCTAGATCTGATGTTATATTTAAATAATTAAGTATCTATCGTCCGTTTATTCTGAAAAATCATCATATAACTTTTTATAAAATTGATTAATGAATAATTTGATGAATTTTTCCTTTGTGATATTATTAACAGTATCCACTCACAATTACTGTGACAAATTTCGATCTATCTATAACAGGCAATGCAAATCTCATAGTTCCATTTTAGTAAACTTCGCAATGGAAAATAACAGTTCAATAACTAATAGCCGCACAATCCTAAATCAACCGTGGATACAACAAATAGAATTTTGTCATTTTAATGGTATTAATGCTTGTCCCGAAACTTAAAAATTAGAATCTATAAAACAATTATCTTACCTACAGTTCTTTATGGGTGCGAAACTTGGCCGCTTACATTAAGGGATGAGCAGCGTCTTAAGGTTTTTGAAAATAAAGTATTGCGTAGAATATTCGGACCGAAGAAGGATGAGTTAACCGGAGAGTTCAGACGGTTACACAACGCCGAATTGCGTGAACTGTATCCGAGTAATATAATTGAGATAATTTCATCGCCGCGAACCAAATGAGCTTGTAAAGTTGTTGGACTTAGTAACGAGAGAATTCCTAAAAGGCTAATATTTTCTGTGCCGAATGCTAAGCGTCCGAGGGGTAGACCGAAGCGAAGGTGGGAAGATTGCATTAAAGCCGATCTGAAGGGACTGGGTTTGGACGGCGATCGATGGAGGGAGGTGTGCAATAAGCGATTGGTGGTGTCGGCATCGAACCTTCGGGTTCGCTAAGCCTTTTTATTATTTATTTATTATTATTATTATTTAATGGTATTAATGATTTGTTAGCTGCAAGCTTTAAGCTTTAGCTCGGTTAAAAATTAACTTCAAAAACTTTATGATAGCCCAACGCTGCCAGAAAATAATTTATATTCAAAGTGAATGTTGAGTGTTGCTTGCAAAAAATTTTTTTTTGTTCCTATTATTATTTTTTGCTTACTCACATGCAGAAGCTAGGGTAGTTTTATATTTGTTCGGGAGTTTAAAAACGTGTTTGTGCTCAAAATGAAAAAAAAAATTACTCCCGATTGGCGTTTTCGACATCAAATCAAGGATCAAATTTGATTCGGGTATCGATGTGTGGGCGGGGTGGCCGTACGGGCAAGCAATTTCATCCAGCATTTCTGTCTACTCACCCTACCTTAGATATGCTAATATTTTACAATCAGCTTGTTCGATTTGGCTCAAATTGATGAAAAAGTGGACATTGGTATAAAAAAGAAGTATGCTGTATAAATTTTACTCAGTTCCATCGATTTCTCTATCTTTAATATTCGCAAATGTATTTTTCTTGATACGCCAATATTTCAAAATCCACTGTTAGTTGTGCCAAAGAATGGTTTAAATTTCCCGCGTTACGGCGAGTGGAGGGAGGCTGATCTAAATGATAAATGATAACAGTTATGCCTTGAAGGCGCCCCACTTCATTGGAAGTCCAGATAACCAAATATGTAAGCTGGCACATAGCTATTTTTTGCACAATTATTATAACCTACCAATCCATTAAGATACAGTCCACTCCTTAAAATTAGAATGTTGCCTTATTGAAACTCATGAGAGCCATCGAAAAGTTGCCTAAACAACTGTTAGATTTGGCTCAAAGTTGGAAGTTCAATTTTTAAAAATATGATGGCTGTGAAATGTGGAATACTTTGAACATATGGAGAGGTTAAGTTTGTATTATGTTTTTATGAGGTTAGTTTTATACGATTTTAGAGTATCTTAAAAAATATATTCAAACTGTCGTCAGATAGATAAATGATAACATTTTTAATTCCATGAGACAAGCTTTTAATACTTTTACTTATATTTCATACAATTTTTACTAATTGGAGGGAAGGGAGAAAGAGAGAGGTTGAAACATATATCCACTTAGGGGTGCGTTTTTCCTCAACTTTATTAACTAAGTCGATTTTGTTATCAACTTATTTAATAAAGTCACTAAGTACATTTTTAAAGGATATATTTACCATTCCATGTTTGTGTGATTTTCTTTTTTATTTATTTATTTAAAAAAAATTCTGATTTCAATATGGGAAAATTATTCAAAGGTATTAGTGATTAAGTTTATTAAATGCTACTTAATGACTTCTTGCAATATACTGATTATATTTATGGTTATCCCTTAACATCCACCAGGGTTATTGTCCATCAAAATCAAGCGAATCTCGATTTACGAATTCTCTCTTAGTTTATTAGTACTACACTTTGCAGAATACAGTTTATGAAGGAAAAAAAAGACGAGAACGCAGATATTATTTTTTTAACATATCCTTACTGTTTGTGCAAAAGGTCGAATGTAACTTTTACATTTAACCATCCGAATCGTCTTGTTTCTAACCTTGCTTCCTCTTCGATTCCTGATAACCCTCCGAGGCGTCTGAAAAGAAGGTGGCCTCGTGATCTCCTCATGTAGACAAATTATTAGAGTGCTACCAATGGGTAGTTTATCAACAAGCGTGTTTCATGTTAGTATATTTCTCTGTACACATTTACTTAATGTATTCATACTAATAAAGTTGTAAATATCATAATAAAAGTTAAAAAAAAAAACTTTTACATGTATTATTTTTAGCGCTTCAGGTTACATTTCGTAGTCTCCAACTGCTATGAGTAGTCCGTTGAATAGGCCATCTGCACATTCTCGAGTATCAATCACCTTTCTTGAAGATTGGGATAATCATTGAGGTTTCCCAGTCATTCGTAATCTTCTTACTTTTCCAGGCCAATTCTAATACCCTGAAGGGTAATTGATCTCCTTTCCTCCCCCATATGTCTATGCAACTCGGATGCTATTTCATTATGACCTGCTGCCTTCCAGCTTCATACTATCCCACATTTCCTCCTTTTCTATCGGCTCATCTTTTCCTTGTTGCAGTTCCACACTATCCTCATTTATCTCCACGAAATTTTCCATTGTTCCTATCATTCCCATTCAGTAACTCTCTAAAGTATTTCCGCCAACTTTCCAGTCTTCGCTTCGGCTCACTTATTATTTGCCCGTCCTTAGCCTTTATAAACTTTATAGGGAATTTCTTCTCATTCCTCATTTTTTTTCAAAACTCTGTAGAACAGTTTCTGATTTTCTTATAATGTAAGTGAAGTAAATTTTTTAACATTTTATTCTCTTTGTAACGATTAAATATGTATTTTGATGTGATACCGAGTTAGAGAGTCAGAAATGAAAAGAGATAGAGCCAAAATATCAAATAATAACGAATGTTTTGAAAATTTGGTCTAAAATATATCAAAATTTAAATACCATGGTGAATAAAGAAACTGATTAATTCGCTATAAAAATACGAAACAAAAAGTTATGTGTTTCTATTTGATATTCTGTTGCTTAAAGTTCTGACTCCGTTACTGAAGATATATGAAACAAAAGACAGAGTTTTGTCATATGTTTAGCAAATAGATTTCAATCAAAAGTATTCATCACATATTTTATAAACATCACATATTCATCACACGTTTTATTTATTTATTTAAACAAATTCATCTACCCATACAGGGTGATTAGCATACACCATTGCTTTGATATATGCAATTTGGAATTTTTTCAACATGGAGTATTACATTATTAATGGCATCTTAATACACTGCATATTTTATGAGAAGTATTACACTGATAATGATATCTATAATTCTGTTAAAAAGATAAACTATGTTGATTTGTTTAAACAAAATTGTAGTATTTAGATGCTTTTAAGAACTTATTTAAATTTTCCACAGCAGTCTCAGTGTTGCCAAGAGCGATGCCCAGCTTCTTATTTATCTTACAACTGTCCTGGCGTCAATAAGGGCTTCACAGTCCAGCAGAATGTTTTCCACGTTGAGAGGTACCTCGCAAGTCTTGCAGGTCCGAAGGGTACAGTATCTTTAGAAGGCGTTATAATGTTGGTCCGGTACGTATCCTTACCAGGATAACTTCTTCGGGTCGGTTTCTTTTTTCGAAGGTTCGATGTCTAGAATTTAAAAAAATGTATCTCTTCTGTAAGTAATAACTTAAAATATTCCTAATGTTTGTTAAACCCATTACAGTTCCAAAGAATAATTAATATTTTGGTAGCTTTTGTTATCATCTTAAAACATATATCTAAAAAATAAAACAGCTTCCAGGTCCGGAACAGCTGACATCATATATTGTATATATGATTAATGATATTACTTTTTGTATATAAAACCAAAACAACTTTATATTTCTGGGTGTCGGTCATAAATAGGCTGAATAGTGTCAAAACTATTTTATTAAAAGCCAACGTTTCGACCCGACTTTGCAGGTCTTCTTCAGGGAGGTGTGTTCAACTAAGAGTTTCACTTAGAACTCATTGAACATAGAATGTTCTACCGCCACCCAGGACCATCTCCTTTCATTATAATGCAATGATCAACTATTAAATATTCAAATTTATATTCCATATTAGTTATCCCAGCACGTTGGATTTTTCACTTCTATCATGCGTTCTAAAGCCCATACCATACTAGTTTTTTTCTTTGGGGTTTCATTCCATTCTTTTCCCAGTACAATTGTTCTTACTAAAAACAATATGTACATTCAAACTGTTTTAGAAATTCTTAATAATGTTAGTGATTTTTTTGGATACCTCGAAGGGTCACAAAAAATGTGGAACTCTTTTGTATTTTTGCATTCACTGATGATCAAGATTCGTACACATATAATTTGTGATTGTCAAGAAGTTACTTTTGAAAAACGGTTTCTTTAGAAGATTAATTCTCAAACGAAAAATATATACCTTGAAATATAAGTAATTGTGTAACAAATGGAATAAGTGAGGTAGCTATACTGGACTTAATTTGAGTGTGCTTTTTATCTACAATTAGATTTTTACATGTAATTACGCCATAACAGATCATGATATTCTTATAACGGTTCTACCTGTTATTGAGAATTTATATACTTGGATATTTCACAATGACAAATTCAACTTTTTTTTCCCTTGGTAGAAACTTAGAGCTTATTTATTAGGAGGATTTAATACATTTTTACTATTTCTTAATTTAGTTCTTTGGTTGTTCACTCAATATTTTTTTTTATACTTTATTTATTGTTTCAACCTCATAGACCAGAAGTAATCTTTTATTTTAGTAAGATTTTTTTTTATTCTAAAATAATTTTGTCCCAAAATTATTTTCTACGTATCTATTCGTGTTTGTCTATATATAGTCAAAATTACAAAATGTTATATGAATTAATAAAATAAATAAAAACTTCAGTAATAGTTTTCATTAAAGTACAAAATGCTCATATCTATCTATGGGCTCTGAAATATCCTTGGCATTCACATGATCGATCAAAAGTATACTAGCTAATTTATAAATGGGTTTGTTCAAACAAAACGACTAGTATAATGTTATTTAATGACAATTTCTTCAACTTACGGCACAAAGTGTCCCTAAAATAAACAATAAACTGGAACAAAAACAATAGTCGGAGGTCCCATTTATATTGACTCCACACTGGGCCTTTTCTGCATTGTTGCCAAGGCGAATATTCAATCATTCTTTAGTCCCCAATCTATAAGTAAATAACTTATCTTCCGATTTTTGGAAGTAATTCACTTCTCTCAGCCAATAACAATAATAATAATCCTATACCGAAAAAGTATTAAAGAACAAAGACAAAGGGTCTACCTAATCGGATTATCTCAACGCTAACTAAATACCAACCCAAGCCTTAAGAAGCCTTTTGAAATAATCCATTATTCTCTCTTCACCGAGTAAATTTGGTTCGCAAATTCCCAGGACACAATTATCTTTCTCTCTTACTGAGAACCAAATCAATGACATTACATAGCAGAAAAAAAATAACGGAGTGACAACGCAGTTTTCTGAGAATATAATTAAATACTTTAATAATATACTTCTGTGAGGAGGGAGGAAGGGGCTATATTAGAGGATTGGAGCTGCGAACTATCGCCGGTGGCTACACTGAGTTTAGGAAACAGTAGGAAGGTTCGAAACACTGGTGAATGGTCGAAACACTGAATGTCTTCCATGTTAACGCAGCAATCTATTAAATATAAGCCAATGGAAGTATACACCTTTTTAGGATAAATCCCCATGAGCAGGTAACAAAATTACTGATGTATTCGCATGCAAACTAAACTGCCTTGTGTAGTTCAGTAATCAGGGGTCTTTCTCATTATCGATTTCCTAACAACCTTATGAATCGATTGGCAACGAGAAACTGTTTATTTTCAGTGGGGATATCTTGCTAGGACGTTAAAGAATACCTTCTGGATGTTGATGTCTGGTTGGGAGTTGGACTATTCATTGCCTTTATATATATATATATATATATATATATATATATATATATATATATATATATATATATACGGTTGTAAGGAATGGAAAATAATCCAACTAATTGTTTATTACAATTAGACTAAGCAAAGCGAAGTTTTGTAACGACTTCAGCTGATCGATTTTTGAGTTTGATGGTTCAGATCGTGAGCTAAAAATACTTACCTGTTATGAAGTAAAATTTGTTTAATCAATTTTAATCAAGTTGGTCAAACGTTATCAAATATTCATCGTAAAATGGAAGGTGCTCATAAATGAATCATAAACTCATAGGATATGATACTACATATAATTATCTTTAAATGTAAACTAAAATTTTAATAATAGAAATATGGTGCGTGGAAAAATATTTCTGTGCCTACTTTTAAACCTTAAATTAGCCATCTAGTTGACTTTTCCTAATTTCTTAATTGATTTTAGTTTACTTATATTATTCATTCATGTAGATAAATTGCTATTGCTATTGATTTTATTATTTTCTCCAAAATATTGAGGGGATGAAGGAGAAGAGGAAAACAATATTCTCACTCCCTCTCTCTCTTTTTATTGGGGGAAACTGGGCGATCATCCCCCTCATGGCCCCAAAGTCTGCTCTATGGATACCAGTATTTCCTTGTTCCCTTGCTATAACCAGATATCTATATTCAGCGCTCATTCTACACACTAAAAAGCCTGACATTTAAATCCCTCATATAATTCCGTAAGAACCGATCTCGTTCTTCTAACTTCCTTCCTCCTTTCCGTTTGACAAGTCCTTTCTAATCCGAGCTGCCCAGTCTGGAATCCTTACCTCCACACGCCATGCTTCAAACGTCTCCTCATTCGAATCCCTCCTCTTTAGCCACCTTTTCCTCGGCTAGTCTAATAAATATTATCTTATAGTAAACGATTTACTGTTATATTTAAAATGTTTCCTGGATCGCTTTCTTATGCTATGTTTCATGCATTTATTACAATTGTTATTTTTTTTTCAAATGTAGTTTTGTTTGCATTGTTATTGTTCAAATTTTCCTTTTCATCAATGTGATATCTCAAATTTTACTTGTATTGACACGAATCTATTATTATTATTTATTTAACGGCTCGACAGGCGCCTGAAGCTGCCGTTGGCCCTCTCAACTGCCTTTTCTCAATCATTTCGGTCAGCAGCATGTCTGCTGGATGCTCCCACCATCATCAAGTATTCAGCCACGGAGTCCTTCCACCTTCCCTTCGGTCTTCCACGTGGTCTGACTCCATCCGGGGTTCCATAATATAATTTCCACACGGCTCTACCTTCGTCCATAATATGTCCTAGCCATTTTAAGCGTGAATTCGCACGAAATGAGAAACCTGGAGGTCGTCGATTAAGTCGTAGATCTCTTTGTTCTTCCTTAAACGTCATGTACCATTCTCTCTAACTGGCCCCATGATGCGCCTCAACACTTTTCTTTCGAAACTGTCAATCTTTTCAGCTAGGCTTTTGCGTAGGGTCCAGGTTGCACTGGCATATGTCAATAAAGGTCGGATGATTGTTTTGTATATAATAATTTTGGTACCCCTACTTAGTAGTTTACTCCGGAGGAAACTTCTTAGGGCGAAATATGCTTTGTTAGCCCCCATTACTCGATTTCGAATTTCTTCTTCTTCGTCAACCTGATCATTAACGATGGAGTCGAGGTACTTAAAACTGGACACACATTGAAACGTATACTGTCCCACTACATAATGCTTAGGCGGATTTATAGGTGTTTTCTTCCTGAGTACCATAATTTTCTTTTTTCCTCACTTATGGATAGCCCCATTCTTCCAGCTTCTCTTTTCAACCTTTCACCTTTCACGGCCTCCTTGATTGCCTGGAGAGACAGTCCAATCAGTGCCACATCATAACCATATCCAAGAAATTGAGTTATTTTACTAAAAATGGTGCCGACTGACTAAGCTCTGCTCTATTCACCACAACTTGGTGACGATGTTAAATAGAAGCGGAGAAAGGGGGTCACCCTGTCTAACTCCTGACTTCACTGCGAAAGGAAGTTGTCTGCTTCCCATTTATTTTCACTCGACTCGCACTCTCATTCAAAATACACGATACAAGTCGGATTAGCTTTGGTGGAATTCCCATCTGTTCCATTGCCAGGTAGAGCTCTTTCCTGATCATGGAAATGACAATGGAATCATAAGCTGCTTTAAAATCGATGAAAAGGATCCATATAATCTTGTTGAATTCTTTTGTTTTCTCCATTATTTGTCTTAAACAGAATATCTGGTCAACAGTTGACCTATTCCTCCTGAAACCTCCCTTGGTAATCGCCCAACCGAGGTTCCACAAAATCCACAATTCGATTATATAAAATAACAGAAAATATTTTGTAAGCTAATACTTTTCTTATTGAGTAAGGGAATGATGACAGATTCCTTCCGGCTATCTGGCATTTTTTCAGTCTCCCAGATATTAACTATCAGATGAGTCAACTCCTCAGCCAGTGCTGACCCACCAATCTTCAAAATCTCCGCTGTTATGCCATCTGAACCGGAAGCCTTGTTATTCTTGAAATTGTCAACAATCAGGACAACCTCATCTAAATCTGGTGTGCTCACTTCATAGTCATTCTCAGTGTCTCGAAAATCCTTATCAGGATACTCGTCATCTTCCCTA